ATGCGCATTAAAGCCAGGGCTCAATTAAAGAGGTGCTCCCCTGGAAGGAGAAATTGCAGGGTATTTTTAGCGAGCTCCCTATAGTGAGAGAACACAGCGGCCTAAGAATGATGGCACCTGGTCCCCTGGGGAACGGCCCCCCCCCCCCACACACACTGCCGCCGCCTCTGAACTGAGGGCTGAGTGCAGTCCCAGCCACGCACCAGCCTCTGGTTTATCTTTAACCACCGCCCGGAGCTGCCCACCTACCGGGTGAGGTTTCGCTCACGGGGACGCTGCAGGGTTCTGCTGCAAAGACACCACTTTCAGGCTTCGGGAGAAGGGTTGCAAACAGGCCCACAGGGACCAGAGATGGGGAGTCACACAGAACAACAGGCAGAGGACGTCCAAGTAAGAACTTTCCGGGGCTTCCAGGAGACACCATGGGTCTATCCGGGAAGCCTCCCGCCTACTCCCAGGACATCGCCAGGGAACAGAGGAAGCCCCGGCGGAGCTATCTCAATCAAGCGTTAAAAAAAATACCCTGCGAACTTGTTCTCCGTCCGACTCACACGGCCCTGCTCTCCACAGAGCCCTGTCGGCACACGATCTCTGTATAGACTGGGGACCTGAGACCCAATTTAGTTTTGTGGGGTTTTTTAAAAATATATTTTTATTGATTCAGAGAAAAAGAGAGAGGGGGAGAGAGAGAGAGAGAAACATCAATGATGAGAGAGAATCAGCGATCTCGGCTGCCTCCTGCACACCCCCTACTGGGGATGGAGCCCGAAACCCGGGCATGTGCCCTTGACCAGGAATCGAACTGTGACCTCCTGGTTCACAGGCTGATGCTCAACCTCTGAGCCACGCCGGCCAGTCGGGTGACACAAGGCGTCTTTAAACAGAAACCCCGTACGGCAAGGCTGCTGAGACTGTCCCGACCTGCTGGCTGCTTGTCCCCCGGAGTGAGGCTGGGGAGGGAGCAGCGATGCTCCAGAGCATGGCCACTGTGACCTGAAAACCAACGGCGTCGGGAGGCCATATCGGGCCGGTGAGATAACACACACGGGTGTCTGAACAGTGGCTGACTTAGCCTCACCCGCTCCTCTTCCCGTAGAGGAGAGGTGAGATTCATCGCCACGGCGAGCAGGTATGAGGAAGCACCGCTAAGCATGCGCCTGCGGCACAGCCCAGAGCGGGGACCGCCAGAGGGAGCAGCGAGCGAGGATGCTTCTCGGGGACCACACCTCACTGCCCTTCGCCCACAGTGAAGACCCCTGACCTGCAGCCCTGGGCCTGCTCCCAACGCACACGGGTGTCTGAACAGTGGCTGACTTAGCCTCACCCGCTCCTCTTCCCGTAGAGGAGAGGTGAGATTCATCGCCACGGCGAGCAGGTATGAGGAAGCACCACTAAGCATGCGCCTGCGGCACAGCCCCGAGCGGGGACCGCCAGAGGGAGCAGCGAGCGAGGATGGGTCTCGGGGACCACACCTCACTGCCCTTCGCCCACAGCGAAGACCCTGACCTGCAGCCCTGGGCCTGCTCCCAACACAGGTCTCCGCCCTGCCAGGCGTCCTATACAAACACACAACCAACGCCCAGGAAGGGGGACCAGCGAGAAGAAACACAAAGTGGACGGTGTTCGAAGGTCGTATGGGGAAGATCAAAACTAAATCCGGTCGCCCGGCCAGTGTGGCTCAGTGGTTGAGTGTCGAACAATGAACCAAGAGGTCACAGTTCGATTCCCAGTGGGGGCACATTCCTACGTTGTGGGTTCGATCCCCAGTAAGGGGGCGTGCAGGACACAGCCGATCACGGATTCTCTCTCATCACTGATGTTTCTATCTCTCTCTCCCTCTCTCTTCTTCTCTGAAATCAATAAAAATATATTTAAAAACCCCCATTTATATTGACTCAATCCACTTACTACACGAATGAACCCATGTATTGTTCCTGAACCCCCTGGACCGCACCAATGCGGCTACCTGCTGTTAGATGTTGGGCCTGCAGGTGTGTGGGCCAGAACTTACAGGCAAACTGCAGCTTTGCTTCTCTGCTGACGATGGTTCCGAGCGGATTCGTAGCGAAGCACTGATAACTCCCTGAGTCCCGATCCCTGTGGGGGTTAATGACCACCAGGTCTCCTCCGTTCAGCTCGTAACGAGACTCCACGGCCAGGTTAATATCGCTTCCGTTCAGCTGCCATCTGGAGAAAAGGCAAGGATTTTTCCCTCTTAGGCTATAAGGATACTGAACATATTCATTAAATCAGCATTATAAAGCCCACTCAAACACCACCTCTCCTACAGACCACAGGTAACGCACGTATGGTTGCACTGATTCATAACTGCGACTCGTACACGCCCGAGGTCTTCAGCAGCAACCGAAGGCCGACGAACATAGAAACCAGGGCAACACAGCATCTGAAGTCAGAGGCTCCTCGGGATTTCCTGAAAAGTGAGAACGACTCGGGGTGCTCACCGGGGAAATCAGGCTCAGCCTGCGCCGGCCACGAGAGGTACAACGTCGAGGTAATTGCCTGGCACGCGGCAGGCGATCTCACGCTGGCCAGGAGCGGGGAAGGGCACATTTCTGTGATTTATCCAGACCGACTGGGCACATTTAATCCACTAATTGGGTAAGTGCTCAGCTATCCGTTTCCATCTGTCTGGGTAAATACCCGTCCCCAAGGCGTGCGCTGTTCGTCTAAGCCATCATGGTGCTATTTGCTGGAGAGTACACGGAGGTAAAAATCCCTAAATGTCACCGCGGGGCTCGGACCAGAACAGGCACGGGCCCCAGGGCCATATTTACCAACAGGAAGCCAGAGGGAAAAAAGGGAAGAGAAAGAAGCTGGCTGTTAAACAAGGGTTTGCAACAGGAACACTAGGAGTTTTAAACCGTGAGTACACCTGACACATCGAGGTAGATGTCACCTTCAGTTTTTAAAAAAAAATATATTTTTATTGATTTCAGAGAAGAAGGGAGAGGGAGAGAGAGAAAAAAAAATCACTGATGAGAGAGAATGAGTGATCAGCTGCCTCCTGCATGCCCCCTACTGGGGATCTAACCCATAACCTGGGCATGTGCCCTGACTGGGAATGGAGCCATGAACTTCACGGTTCATAGGTCTATGCTCAACCACTGAGCCACATCGGCTGGGCTATTTCATTTTTCCATCACTATTTATCTCCTCTATGCCCTCTTCCACCTCTACTCAGCTCAATACTTCCCCACAATCACCACACTGGTCCATGAATTCTCTTTGTTTTTTCTTTTTGCTCAATTCCTCCACCCCCATCACAGCTGTCAGCCTGCTCTCTAGGAGTCTGTCTCTGTTTTGCTTGGTAGTTCAGTTTGTTCCTCAGATTCCACATACTACTGCGTGTGAAATCGTGATACTCATCTTTCTCGACTGGCTTTTCTCACTTAGCCTAATGCTCTCCAGGTCCATCCATGCTATTGCAAAGGGTACAATGTCCTTCCTCTTTACAGCAGAGTGGTACTCCATTGTGTCAATGTGCCCTATGTTCACTGCAGCATTATTTACAATAGCCAAGATTTGGAAGCAGCTAATTGCCCATCAGTAAATGAGTGGATAAAAAACAGTTCACCTTTAACAACTCACCCATGTCCCACCATCCCCAGAACACATCCACTGTGTAGACTGAGCCATCACGTTCCCGAAGACTTGATTCTAGCAATAAAGCCACACGACCACCTATTCTATAAATGTTAGCACATTAAAACAAGTATTTCCATTATGATGTTCTCTTTATGATAATTTTGAGGAAATGGGTGGCATAATGCCCCTTTCCTAGATGAGGATTTCAATAAAGCAGCTCAGTGAGTGGGCAACTGTCCCCTGTGTATTCGTTGGCCAGAACAGAAGTGATACCCATTTTAATTCTAGCTGGAATCCTTTCATCATGTCATGGACCATTTAAATTTGTCTCATTAATATATAGAACATTTGCCCTAGCCGGTTTTGCTCAGCGGATAGAGCGTCGGCAAGCGGACTGAAGGGTCCCAGGTTCGATTCTGGTCAAGGGCACTTACCTTGCTTGTGGGCACATCCCCAGTGGGGGGTGTGCAGGAGGCAGCTGATTGATGCATCAGTAAATGAGTGGATAAAAAACAGTTCACCTTTAACAACTCACCCATGTCCCACCATCCCCAGAACACATCCACTGTGTAGACTGAGCCATCCATGTTCCCGAAGACTTGATTCTAGCAATAAAGCCACACGACCACCTATTCTATAAATGTTAGCACATTAAAATAAGTATTTCCATTATGATGTTCTCTTTATGATAATTTTGAGGAAATGGGTGGCATAATGCCCTTTTCCTAGATGAGGATTTCAATAAAGCAGCTCAGTGAGTGGGCAACTGTCCCCTGTGTATTCGTTGGCCAGAACAGAAGTGATACCCATTTTAATTCTAGCTGGAATCCTTTCATCATGTCATGGACCATCTAAATTTGTCTCATTAATATATAGAACACTTAACCTGGACATGTTATGCACTGTAAAAACATACAAAAAGATGAAATGCGAACTTTATCCCAAGTGGATGTGCAGAGGTTAAATGGAATATTATACAACTGCAAAAACACGAGAACTTTCATAAACACGAAAAAGCCTCACAAACTACTAGTATGGTTAATAAAAATCAAATTAAAATATGCAGTTTGATACTGTTAATATAAAGTTTTAAAACACATCAAGTCTTATTAGGACTGTTCTAAAGATATTTTTAATGTACGAAAATGATACACCTCAACTTAAGTTATTTTAAAGCACTCATGGAGAGAAAGTAGGATGTATTTAAGGGCGAATGCTGGGAAATTTAGCGTTTTTGGTTTTATTTCTTAAACTGAGCTGTGGATATAAAAAGGTTCATCATTATTCTTGCTTATATGTCTATATCATATTCTATATTTGAAATAGTGTGCAATGAAACTTGAATGATGGAGACTACAGGAAATGAATAAATTCATAAGTTTAGTCCCTAGTGCTCAAAAAATTTATCATTTGCTCCCTTTTAAAATCAAGAATTTCTTGATTTCTCTTTCTTTATTCACATACAAGTCTCCTAGGTCTAAAGCAACATTTCTCCTGAGAGACCAAATTAAACGTAAGAGAAAAAATCCAGGCCCCAACTCTTTTCTTTTGAACTTAAAAAGAACAAAATCACAAAAAAGGAAAAGGAAGAACTGCAACCTCGTTTGCAGAAGAATCTGCTATATTCTTCTCTGTTTATAATAGAGTAACTCTCGCATGATCCTTCCCAGGGCAAGTCCATATTTGCATGAACATTTTGGGTCATTTTCTTCTATTTTAACTTTAATTCTGTCCTTATTGTTTGGAAGTCAAACCATAAACATGTACTAACCCTCTCATCTTCCTCCTCCCCGAATCCTAGAACTACAGAAACTCAAAAAAGGAAATGAAACAAAGGAAAACTGTCCATCTACATTCTGTCCAAATACTCTGTATGCTTGATGCACAGTGGTGGTCTGAGGAACAGCATCACCACCATCATCATCATCACTGCCATCATCCTCAGCATTACCATCACCACCACCACCACCACCACCATCATTGCCATCATCCTCAGCATTACCACCACCACCACCACCACCATCATTGCCATCATCCTCAGCATTACCACCACCACCACCACCACCATCATTGCCATCATCCTCAGCATTACCACCACCACCACCACCACCATCATTGCCATCATCCTCAGCATTACCACCACCACCACCACCACCATCATTGCCATCATCCTCAGCATTACCACCACCACCACCACCACCATCATTGCCATCATCCTCAGCATTACCACCACCACCACCACCACCATCATTGCCATCATCCTCAGCATTACCACCACCACCACCACCACCATCATTGCCATCATCCTCAGCATTACCACCACCACCACCACCACCATCATTGCCATCATCCTCAGCATTACCACCACCACCACCACCACCATCATTGCCATCATCCTCAGCATTACCACCACCACCACCACCACCATCATTGCCATCATCCTCAGCATTACCACCACCACCACCACCACCATCATTGCCATCATCCTCAGCATTACCACCACCACCACCACCACCATCATTGCCATCATCCTCAGCATTACCACCACCACCACCACCACCATCATTGCCATCATCCTCAGCATTACCACCACCACCACCACCACCATCATTGCCATCATCCTCAGCATTACCACCACCACCACCACCACCATCATTGCCATCATCCTCAGCATTACCACCACCACCACCACCACCATCATTGCCATCATCCTCAGCATTACCACCACCACCACCACCACCATCATTGCCATCATCCTCAGCATTACCACCACCACCACCACCACCATCATTGCCATCATCCTCAGCATTACCACCACCACCACCACCACCATCATTGCCATCATCCTCAGCATTACCACCACCACCACCACCACCATCATTGCCATCATCCTCAGCATTACCATCACCACCACCACCACCACCACCATCAGTATCACCATCATCAGCACTGTCACCATCATCACCACCACCACCATCATCATCATCACCACCATCGCTACCACCATCACCACCAGCATCTGGGCGCCTGTTGGACATGCAGAATCTCGGGCTCTATCTTACATCTCCGGAGTCAGAGTTGGCATCCTCAGGGGAATTGAAGGGGTTTACTGTTAAGCACACTCAGGTTGGAGAAGTTCTGGTCCACCTTATACCCAAGGAGTGACCATGGGCAGCCTCTGGGAGACACAGCAGGTAAGAGTTCCTGCTCTTGACTTGGCCTCGTTCATGTTCAATAACTGTAATTACAAAGCCCGCCTTGCTTCCTCCCACCCCTTCTTGAGAAAAACACTGAGTTCCTGTATGTTAGGCAATCTCTAGTTTCTGAGGATGTGGTGAGATGGGTCCCTGCCTTCATGAAGCTTCATGTTGGTGGATTTCCTCCTGTTTCCTTCCTTGACCTCTGTTAGGCCCCAGGCCCTGGCCACTCCTGCCAGGTAACAGCCTAATGAACCCAAAGGGGATCCAGAACCTAACGCTCCCTGCAGCTGTGTGACCACGCACAAATCACTCACCTTCCCTAGACCTAAGTTTTTATCATAGGGTTGCTCTATAACTTTATTTATGTAGATAATGGATGCA